TGCTCAAGTCTGAACCTTTCTGGAAGCCTTTGTGATTCAGCTCACTGGTTCTTTCCTGTGTGTGGCAGGAAGAACTAGAGCGGGACAAGAGGGTCACTTGGATTGTGGAATTCTTTGCCAATTGGTCTAATGACTGCCAGTCGTTTGCTCCTATCTATGCTGACCTCTCCCTCAAGTGAGTACTGTATGGGGAGGGATGACGGAAGCAGAGGTGCTGTGCTTTCCCTCTCATTGTTTTTGGCTTTGATTTCTTACATTGCAACCAAAGGCGTTTTCCTCCCTCCCTAAATATTTGTATTTCCACTTCCCTTGACCCACTCTCTTCTTTCCTTATGTAAATAATATATTTTTCTTAGGTACAACTGTACAGGACTAAATTTTGGGAAGGTGGACGTTGGACGCTATACTGATGTTAGTACACGGTATGTAAGGGCCTAGATAGAGGGCCTAGCAGTAAATCACTTGCAGTGATGTGGACAGATCCATTTATAGAGCCCTTTCTGGGTCCTGTAGGTACAAAGTGAGCACGTCGCCCCTCACCAAGCAGCTCCCTACCCTGATCCTATTCCAAGGTGGCAAGGAGGTCATGCGGCGGCCACAGATTGACAAGAAAGGACGAGCTGTTTCTTGGACCTTCTCTGAGGTATCTGAAAGAGTGAGCGAGTGGTTTGGAGAAGGGTGTAGAACAGTGGTCCGCTTTGGAGTCCAACCTGGGTTTGATTCCTGGCTCTGCTGCTTGGCCCACTAGTTTTGAGGGTGTGGACTAGTTACGGGTTTTCATTCATGAATTCACTCAGCAAATTTGTTGTGCTTCTACCATGTGTCAGAACTCCTAGCACAGGGGAACAGTTATTAGTTAAGATTCGGTCTCAAGAGCCCTTGTCAGTATAGTCTGTAGACCTGAGGTTACTTATCAGAAAATTGAAGAGAGTAACACTTGGATCACAGGGTTGTTTTGTAGAGGATATTAAATAATGTAGCTGTAATTCTTGGCACAGGGATGATCGCATAATGGGTACTTAACTGTACAGGGTTGACTCTTCCAGGTACCCAAAAAAGGAGAGTTAGAATAGATTTCTGTCCTTTTCTTCCTTTTTTCCTAGACTGTCTATGTCTAAGTGTCTCAATACTTCTTACTTCCTAGTAAGGACTGTCCCACCAGAACCCTGATGTGCGTATGTACCTCTTTTGTGCAGGAGAACGTGATCCGAGAATTCAACTTGAATGAATTGTATCAACGGGCGAAGAAGCTATCAAAGGGTGGAGATAATACCCCTGAGGAGCGGCCTGTGGCCTCAAACCCCATGGAAGTACCAGATGGGGAAAGCAAGAAGGACAAATAGAATCCCTGCCTTGTCAGTGCTTCCTCACCTCTGAGGCCCAGCCCCTCCTGTAACCACAAGCCTTGTGTGAGGCCTGGGCCTTTTATTTATGTTTTCTCCTTTGGCTATCCCTGAGTGGGGCAGGGTGCTGCTTCTGATTTTAAAGAGGCTTCCAGGGAATTGACAGGCACCCTCCAGGATGGCCTCCACTGCTGTGACCAACTTTCACTGGAAGAAGGGAGAAATCTGCCATGGATGAGGAAATGCTTTCCCTCCAGGCTTGGGTCAGTTATCAGTTCTTGTCCATCACTCACATGTCTCCAACATGCTGTGTGTTCATCCCTCCTCTTAGTGGACCTACACAGTCTGCTTAGATTATATTCAACCCAGCAGAAGATGCCTGTGTATGGAGTCTGCGCTAGGACTTTTCCCTCAAGGACCCTTGCTTCTCTAGGCAGTTCTGGCTTGGTCTGTGGCCTTCATTAAAAAGTATAAGGCTAATTTTGTCACTGGTCCCAAAGAGGCACCTTTAACCACTGAGGGTACTCATCGAAGATAATATTGCATAATCCCCTTATTTTTTGGAGTTTGGGAGGAAGAGATATAGGTTTGAGACATTCCTTTGTGTGGTGGGGCCTCCCAGAGAAAGCCCTTGGGCAGGAATGGGGTTTCACTTACTCCCTACTCCCAACGCCCAGTTGATGGTTTTCCATAATAAAGAAACTGGGATTTCCTTTTGTTTGTGCCTTTGTGTGTTCCTCGCCTATTAGAAAAGCCTGGCCATTGCAGAGGAAGCGCCTATCTCCTCCTCAACTTCAAAGGCCAAACTGATGAGTTTCTCCAACTGCCCGGCAATGGTCCCCAGGATCAGGGAGTTTAGTTACCTGAATCCCAGAGTACTGACCTCACCGAGTTAGGCTATGGGTTTGGTTTGGGATTGGGTCCCGGTTTCCAGGGAGCGGGGGTGGGGTTTGTATGTCGTGGTCCAAGCTATTTAGCCCGATGGAGGCTTGCAGAAACGCCTGTATGAAGCCAGGGTTGTTTTAGAGCTGCCTAGTCCGCGCCCCTCCGCAAGCGCGGGTGGTTCGGTCTGGGGCTTCTTGTAGCTCCCCTCCGCCACGGGCAGAGTGGTTATGCCCTAGGGAGCGCCCCCCCCGCCCCTCCGCGAGCAGAGTGGTTCTGTCCAGAGAGGGCCGCCCCCCCCGTCCGAGTGGTTGTGCCCAGGGAGCCCGCCCCCAGACCACGTGTGCGCCGGGCCACGCTCTGCGCAGCTAGGGAGATGCTTTGTCCCGGCGGCGGGCTTCCGGACCTGTGACTTGGATCTCGGAGCGGTGTTGGCCGGACCCGTATTCACGCCCAGGACGGCTCGGCTCCCGGCAGGGCTCCGGGCGCCATGGCTTCTCGTGGGAGAAAGCGGAAGGCCGAGGTGGCGGTGGTCGCGGCGGCGGCGAAACAGGAGAGGCCGGCGAAGGCAGCGGAGGCGACCGTCGTGATCGAGCATTGGTGAGGGGCCTGGAGAGGCCCGGGGAGGCGGACTAGGGCGTCGCAGGCCAAGGCCCCAGGCTCTGACCTTCCCCCTCTCTCTCTAGCACGAGCTGACGCGTCTACGGGCGCAACGCCGCGGCCCTGAGCCAGGCGCTGCGCCTGGAGACCCCGGAGCTTCCGGTGGAGGTGAACCCTGCCAAGCCCCGGAGGGGCAGCTTCGAGGTGACGCTGCTGCGCCCAGACGGCAGCAGTGAGTGGGGGCCCGGGAGCAGGCGGGAGGCGCTGGTCTCAGACCGTGGGTACCTCGGCATTTGGGGGACGTGCTGGTGCATTCCAAAGTGACTTGGCTTTATTGGTCTTTTCCCAGGTGTGGAGCTCTGGACTGGGATTAAGAAGGGGCCCCCACGCAAACTGAAGTTCCCGGAGCCTCAAGAGGTGGTGAAGGAGCTGAAGAAGCACCTTTCATAGGGTGTTTTGGATAGAAGTCCTCAACGCTGAGGTTTGAAGGGGGCTTGGGTGGATTTGGGGTTTTTGTGAAGCAGCCCTCATTTCACACACGATCTATAACTTCTTTTCTTGCTCAGAATTTCCCCTTTGCTCCTGGGTAGGAAAACTAGAACTCGGCAGTAAAATTATTTCCTGTTGGTGTGCCATTTGCTAATTGGTTGCATGTTTTTGAGCTAAGTTAAAGGGTGCTGATGGTAATGTGAATGACTGTAGAAATGCAATTTGCGCCCTTTGAAGATGTGGATTATTGCCCTGGGTTGGGGTACGGGCCCTTTTTGTTTCCGTTAGATGTATTTTGCACACCTGATGGCAGTTGTTTTGTTTCTTAAAGCTGGTGGTGTAAATTCCCACTGGTTTCCTCGTTTGGGAGTTAAAGTTATTGACACTTGTTTTTGCTATTTTACCCCTTTGTACTGGCCAGAATTTTTGTGTAACCTCATGTGTGCTTATCCCTACCCTACCTTTCTGTGTTTTTTGTTTCGTTTCTAGTATGTTTTCTATTAATCCCATGTGAAAACTGCAGTAGTATCCCTCATGGCCCCAAGGATTTGACTGGTCTTTATCTCTAGTCCTTGGACATGTTGTCAGGCACTTGATATGCTGAGTAAAATGGGGGAGGATGCAATTCTTGAATTCTCCTTGGTTTGTGGGTTCTGGGGTGGGTGGTACAGCTTCCTCAGGCTTTTGGATTGCCTGGACCCTTTCTCTAACCTTTTTTTTCCCCTTGTCATGTTTACAGCTTCCTGTCTCTGGTGATGTTGGAGCATTTATGATGGAACATGGCCAAACTTTAGTCATGTACCTGAAGTCGTGGTTTCTTCCCCTCCAGAAAGGATGGTTCACTTGTGAGGCAATCTGCTAGTAAGGCATTGAACAGTTGTTGGATTTGGTTCAATAAAAGTTGAAATAAAGTGTTTGAATAATAAAGTAAAACTTAATCTTACGATTAAAAAATGGACAAAACCAGCTATTTGTGGGATTGGCTCCCTTTGTATTTTTTTCATATTCTGAGGTCACAAATTAACCTGGAGCTCCTAGGTTCTCTGGTAGATCATGTGAAATACTTGCAAAAACTGTGGGGGGAAAAAAAGCAAATAATTTATTTTTTTAAAAAAGCATCTATCTTTTTCAACTCACTTCTTGGAAGTGATGATGGAAGTTATGTCTTTTTGGCCCCTGCAAAGGTCTGGCTAGACCTCCCATACTGGACTAAATAAGCCACACATGTTAGGTATGGGAAAATGTCCTATTAGTCGTACCCACTTGTTACACCCCAGCACTGTTTCACACCTTCTAAAATACATTATGTTTTGTAGAGGGTATTCTTTCTCATTTATTATTGAATTAGCAGTGACTAGATGCCTCATAACTTAGGAGACGTGGTGCTGGTTGTTACTTATGATCCAGTAGAGTTGGGGACCACACAGTTTATAGTTTCACTTGTTTATCACTAACTGGAAAATAGATTACAATGAAATAAGATGGTTCAAGTTCATAATTTTGTACCTATGGTACTATTTTTGCCTGGCTCCCAAAGCCTGGGGAGGAGAAGAGGGGACCTTAAGAGAGCTAAGAGTACACCTGCCTCTTGTGCTAAGAGGACAGGGCCTATGCTAGCCTCTGTCAATAGACCTTTCGCTAGCCAACATTTCCCACCCTCCCATTGCCCCTAACCTACTTCTTGTTCTACGTTAGTATGTCCACTTCTGTGTCTGACTCTGAGGAAGGGTCGGGCCACACAGAGGGAATACCAGTGGGCACCAGCCTCCCCTCTGATGTCCAGTCCACCACATCAATCTCTTCCTCTTCGGAGCTGGCAGGAAGCGGGTCCAACAACTCAGAGTTGTCAGGTACCTCCTTGCTCGCCTCTGGAGCAGAATACAACACCTCATCCATACTTAGGGACACTTCTGGCCCAGTGTCCATCCAGTTTGAACAGGGAGGTGAGAGGTCCTCATAGGACCTTTGGGGGTCAAGAGAGTCAATATGAAGCTTATCTCTCCGACCATCCAATGGTTGGGAACTGGTAATTTCCAGATCTGGAGTCCAGGAACCTACTGAAAGTACCTCCCCTTCACTCACCTCAGAGGGTATGACAAGGGGGCTAAGGGACTCAATTGGCTCTTTGTTCTCACCAACAGGTTCCTTTTCCAGTCCTGTGAGCTCCCTGGGCCAGAGTTCCAAGTCTGGCAAACACCATTCTTCCCCTTCAATCCAGTTCTTTCCTGTTTCTGTCAGGTGATAGCTAGGGGTCCTGCAGCCCTCTGCTCCAGGACTTTGCAGAGACCCTATGGGGGGCTCAATGTCTGAGCCACACAGCATGAAGTCCAGGATCTCCTCCAGCTCGCTGGTGGCAGCAGCAGTCGTGATGCGGTACTCCTCGGCTTCGCAGGGCTGCCCCAGCAGGGCTGTGTCAAATGCATAAGGCTCTCTGCAGTCTATATCCAACCCAGGTTCCTTCCCTATCAGTTCTGGACTGGACCCGAACTCAGACTTCACCACTGGGTGGTCTGGGGAGCGGCTAGCAGAAAGCAGAATGTCTTGGAGTCTAGAGCACAAGGGGGAATCCTGACATAGTTCTACCTGAGCAGATGACAGTCCCTGCTCTTTATGTGAGGATGGCTGAGTACTTGCAGTCCCTTCTGAGTGTTGAGCTTCTGGGATCTGAGGGCTGTCTTGAGAGTTTTTGAGGGGAGGCTCTTGTACCACCTCCCAGCATGTTCCATTGACAATCTTCCGAAGTTTCACTCTTCCAACTTGCCCCTCTTCTACAGAGTCTGGGTTCGGTGCCCTGACTTCAGGGCTCCGCTTCTTGCTCCCACCTGTCTTCCCAAGGCCAGATGGGCTTGGGATGCTCTGTAGAGGACTAGCTCTCCCTGGTTTCTCCTTGTCTTCTGGTACTTTATTTATACTCTTCTGCCGCCAAAGGCGCCGGCCAGGGGCTGTGGGTACTGAGGTGGGTCTGCTTACCATGCTAGAAGGCTTGGATGTACAGATACTAGGAGACGGCTTTGAGCGACTCAGTCTGATCTTTCTGGGCAATAGCCGCTCATCCACAGAAGGGTACATACTGGGTGGAGAAAGTGCTGTAGGAACAATGGCAGGGTCACTCTTGTTCTCTCTTGGTCCCTGACTGTGGCTTGATGGTGAAGAGCTTTTTTCTTGTGGAGTTGGGCAAGCTCTGACCTTCTTCTTGAGCAGGCTGCCAGACAAGTTCTCTGCATTCTGTCGGTTGCTTTTCTCTAGGGGCCCCTCCTCCTTCCCTGAAGACTTCAATCTCACTGGCCCAAGAGGGCAAGGAGTCTGGGTCACAGGCAGTGGAGTCCGAGGGCGGCGGCTGGATGCCACCACCCTGGCAGAGATTGGTGCAGCCGCTGGAGGCTGTAAGCACTCCCTGTTCAGTCTTCGGCCCTGGGGAGCCTTCACCAACTTCCCACCCTCTAGCTGAAGGGATTCTAGCTCAGATACACGGAGCTGACGGGCAGCAGAAAGCACATCCTGCGCTTCTTCTCGAGATACTTCCATCTCTGAGGTATATAAGAAGTCCACCAGCTTCCTGAGTGTCCTGATCTTCAAGCCCCCCAGCTCCAGCACCACCTTCCGACCCTGAGCTGGCCTCTCCCGCTCCAGGCGCTCTGTGAAGAAGGGGCTGCAGGCTGACAAGATGCAGCAATGAGCTGGGACTGCCTCACCTGGAAGGAAATCCAAACACTTTATCTTAAGCAAACTGGCATGTTCATGGGCTGAGCAGTCTTTACTACCCAAATGTGCTGCTCTTTCTCTCAGTTTTCCTCCATGGAAGTTCAAATAGGAGAAATCTGTTCCTTCTGTCCGCCTGGAACCTTCTGTCACTACCTAACTAACACATTTTATCTTTCAAAATCTAGTTTAGGGGCTGCTGGGTGGCTTGGTTGACTGTCTGCCTTGGACTTCGGTCATGATCTCAGAGTTCTGGGATTGTGAGGCTCCCTGCTCAGTGGGGAATCTGCTTCCTCTCCTTTTGCACGCCCCCCACCCCCGACCAACCACTACTCCCGCTCTCTCTCTCTAAATAAAATCTTAAAAACAAAACCCTGAAAATCTAATTTGGTCATTACTTCTTCAGAAAGCCTTTCCCCATCCCACGTCAAGTCTAGGTTAGGTGCTCCTGGGCACGGGGAGGTACTCTAGCTGTCAGAGCACTTAGATATCCATATTTTAAGTGTCCACCTCCTTCACTGAAGTGAAGCTCTATGACTGAGACTATCTGCTCACAGAGGTATAACCCGCTGCTTGACAAAAAGGAGGAGTTCAGATTTTTTTTAGACTCACAGGAGAGTTTTAAAAATTTTACAGAAGCTGTTTGTAATAGAATGTGAGCTCTGGATGTAGACAATCAGGGTTCAATTCTCTCCTGACCCTCTTAGGCACTACCCACCAGGCAGTGGTCTGTCCTCAGCCACCTTCCTTATGGGGCCTTCCCTGGCAATCTCAGTCTCTCTCATGGCTTCAATTTCCAAAGGCTCACTGCTGACTCCCAGGTCCTACTTCTGCCCAAATACCTTTTTCCTGAGCCACTAAACATGCCATAGCCTGTATCAACCTTTCTAGAAAATGAACTCCGTTCCCTAACCCCAGAACCTCCCATTTCTTATATCCAGCTGCCCAAGCCTGGAAACTACAGTCATCTTTGATTGTTCTCCTTTAGCCACTGTATCTAATCAAACAGTGATTTTTATCTATTTATTTATTTTTAAAGATTTTATTTATTTGACAGAGAGAGAGATCACAAGCAGGCAGAGCAGCAGGCAGAGAGAGAGGGGAAAGTAATCTCCCCACCGAGCAGAGAGCCTGATGCGGGGCTTGATCCCAGGACCCTGAGATCATGACCTGAGCTGAAGGCAGAGACTTAACCCACTGAGCCACCTAGGTACCCCTTATCTATTTATTTTTAAAGATTTTTTTCTAATTTTTAAAACTTTAATATAGTTCAAATCAGTGGGCCAGGTTCACTTCAGCTCCTTCACTGCCAAACCCAGGGGGAGGGACTGCTTCAGTTTTCTCTGCCTTCTTGTCTATGATGACCAAGGTGTAAAGGTACCTTCTGCACCGAACTTTAAACTTCACATTATCCTTACTTTTCTTGATCTTGATGGATTTGGCATCCCTCACCTGGCTGTGAGCAAAAAGTCCTTGATTTCCTTGATTTTGCAAGGCATGGCTACGAAGAGACTGGGGAGTGCGCAGCCAGCACAGCAAGTGGCAAGGAGGATGGAAAAGCTAAAAATTTTTAGGTAACCTCTACACCCAACATGGGGCTCAAATTCAAAACCCTGAGATCAACAGCCACAGGCTCCACTGACTGAACCAGCCAGGTGCCCCTCAAACATTAATCTTAAAAAAAAAAAAAAAAAAAAAAAAAGATACTATTTCTTGAATCCTTATTGCATGCCTTATAATATACTAAGTCAGGGTTTTACCAGTATTCATTCATTTGCTCTTCACTGCAATCCTGTGAAGTAGCTGCTATTACAGATGAGTAAACCGTGGCATAGCTAAGTAACATACCCACCACAATTACACGGTTAGCAAGTCACAGGAAGAGGATTTGAACCCAGGGAGTTTTGTTATGAGCCTAAGCCCTTAACTACTCCAAGTTTTGTAAATTCTTTTTGTTTATAAACCATACATTTTTCTCTATTCTCAATGTCTAGTTTTAGGCCACCATTCCCTCTCTGGATTCCAAAATGACCTCCTATCTGGGCTTAACAACAATCCAATAATTCTCATGCAGCCTAAGTGCTATTTTTAATGTAGGCATCTGATCATGACCTTCCTCTTAATACCTTTAAATGCATTTCCTGGGGCCCCTGGGTGGCTCAGTCAGTTGAGTGTCTGACTCATTCTGGGTCATGATCTCGGAGTAATGGGATTGAGCCCTGCGGCAGGCTCCACACTCAGCAGGGAGTCTGCTTGAGATTCCCCCCTCTCCTCTGCCTCTCCCCGCTTGCACACACTCTCTTTCTAAAATAAATCTTTTTTTTTAAAGATTTTATTTATTTATTTGACAGAGAGAGATCACAAGCAGGCAGAGAGGCAGGCAGAGAGAGAGGAGGAAGCAGGCTCCCTGCCGAGCAGAGAGCCAGATGCGGGGCTCCATCCCAGGACCACGAGATCATGACCCGAGCAGAAGGCAGAGGCTTAACCCACTGAGTGACCTAGGCGCCCTAAAATAAATAAATCCTAAACAAAATAAATACATTTCCCAATGTTCTGAGGATAAGACCTACTTCTTTGCACACTTCAGAATTCACACGTTGCTGCTAATTTCTCTCCCCGTATCTCTCATCAATACACTTCCGGAGTCTGCCCTCTAGCCATAGTGAAGCACTCACAGATCCCTGGTTGCATCTACGTCTCTGTACATGTTGTTCTCTCTGCCTGGGCAAATCTTTCCCCACTTCCTTCTACTCCTGTTTGTCCTCCAGATCTCCACTAAAAGGTTATTTTTTCCAAGAAAATCACCCTAACCCGTGTCCCCCAAGCTCCTCATGTCTGGGAAGGTGCCCCTCTCTTGTGCTCCTGTCTCAGCCTTTGCTTACTCCAGGGTTATTTATTATATTGCAGTTACTTGGATCCACTGTTATCTCAGGTTTCTCTCCCCTTTACGTGATTTCCGTATAAGAAGGGATTTTATCTTCATACGGTATATATGCCTATGCTTGTACACTGTTCTAACATACAACAGGCAATTGCTTTTTTTTTTTTTTAAGATTTTATTTATTTATTTGACAGAGAGAGATCACAAGTAGACAGAGAGGCAGGCAGAGAGAGGGAGGGAAGCAGGCTCCCCGCTGAGCAGAGAGCCCAACGTGGGACTCGATCCCAGGACCCCGAGATCATGACCCGAGCTGAAGGCAGCGGCCCAAACCACTGAGCCACCCAGGCGCCCTGCTTTTTTTAAAAATTTTGAATTAAGGAATGAATCCCAACTCTGTACTTACTAAGAGAATGAACAGGTAAGACGATTAACTCCCTAAGCCTCAATTCATTCATCTGTAGAACTGGAACTATATCACATTATCTCACAAGACTGTTGTAAGAATCAAATGAGACACTAGACGATATTGTAATGTACTCTGCAAAGTACAGAGTGCTACACGATGTTGGTTGTCATAATCCCTTTTATAAATGAAGAAACTGAGCTCCAGAGAGATGAAGTGAGACTTGGGCATTTGTCACTTAATTTCTAAGTAACAAAGCTAAGATTCTGACTCCTAGTCTTGGGCTTTTTATAGGATACCAGGCTCAGGGCGCCTGGGTGGCTCAGTTGGTTAGGGGTCTGACTCTTGATCTCAGCTCAGGTCTTAATCTTAGGGTCATGAGTTCAAGCCCCCCACTGGGCTCCACGCTGGGCATGGAGCCTACTTAAAAAACCAACAAAAATACATGATCGGGGCGCCTGGGTGCCTCAGTTGGTTAAAGCCTCTGCCTTCAGCTCAGGTCATGATCCCAGGGTCCTGGGATTGAGCCCCGCATCGGGCTCTCTGCTCAGCAGGGAGCCTGCTTCCCCCTCTCTCTCTGCCTGCCTCTCTGCCTACTTGTGATCTATCAAACAAATAAGTAAAATCTTAAAAAAAAAAAATACATGATACCAGGCTCTACTTCCTACTGACTGAACATTCCATGTATAAAGGAAAGGGGTGGAAATAAACTATATATTTTTAAGTCTAACAACAAACAACAAAAGCCTTTAATTTGAAGATGAGAAAAATTAAGCAAAAGCTTGGCAAGAAAATGAGAATATATGCAACAGTATTGTCTAACATTTATATTGTGCTTAGTACATTAAAAGCATTGTTCTAGGGGCGCCTGGCTGGCTCAGTGGGTTAAGCCTTTGCCTTCGGCTCAGGTCATGATTCCAGGGTCCTGGGATCGAGCCCCACATCGGGCTCTCTGCTCAGCGGGGAGCCTGCTTCCCTCTCTCTCTCTGCCTGCCTCTCTGCCTACTTGTGATCTCTCTCTCTCTCTGTTAAATAAATAAATAAAATCAAAATTATTAAAAAAAAAATTGTTCTAAGTCCTGTGTGTATGTTAGCTCCATCTTCACAATCACCCTGTTACATTTTAATTATCCACCTTTCACAGAATTTCTACACTTAATAAACTTTACATTACTTCATTACTTTCTTTCTTTTTTTTTTTTTTTTTTAAAGATTTTATTTACTGGGGCGCCCGGGTGACTCAGTGGGTTAAACCTCTGCCTTCAGCTCAGGTCATGATCTCGGGGTCCTGGGATTGAGCCCCACATCAGGCTCTCTGCTCAGCAGGGAGCCTGCTTCCCCCTCTCTCTCTGCCTGCGTCTCTGCCTACTTGTGCTCTCTCTCTCTGTCAAATAAATAAATAAAATCTTTAAAAAATTTTAAAAATAATGATTTTATTTATTCACCTGAGAAAGAACCTAGGGGTGAGGGAGGGAGAAAGGGAGAAACAGACTCCCTGCTGAGCAGGGAAGAGTGGGACACAGGGCTCAATACCAGGACTCAGAGATCATGACCTGAGCCAAAGGCAGATGCTTACCCAACTGAGCCACCCAGGTGCCCCTCTACTTACATTTTTTTTTTTAAGATTTTATCTATTTATTTGACAGATCACAAGTAGGCAGAGAGGCAGGCAGAGAGAGAGGGGGGGAAGCAGGCTCCCCGCTGAGCATAGAGCCCGATGCGGGGCCCGATCCCAGGACCCTGGGATCACGACCTGAGCCGAAGGCAGAGGCTTAACCCACTGAGCCACCCAGGCACCCTCTACTTACATTTTTTAAGAGAAAAAAAGCACAGTCTCATTTTCACTCTCAGAAACAGTAACTGTCCTAGAAACAAACAGCTCTTTACCAAATAACTTATAGTGCTCAAGGGTGATGGCACATTTTCTTGGTTTTGTGCTCTATTCCCTGGCCCTGAACTCATTTTATCATTCTATAGTGAGTATTCTTTTTTTTTTTTAAAAAGGTTGTATTTATTTATTTGAGAGAGAGACAGTGAGAGAGAGCATGAGAGGTGAGAAGGTCAGAGAGAGAAGCAGACTCCCCATGGAGCTGGGAGCCCGATGTGGGACTCGATCCCAGGACTGCAGGATCCTGACCTGAGCCAAAGACAGCTGCTTAACCAACTGAGCCACCCAGGCGCCCTATAGTGAGTATTCTATAGTGACTTTTCATTTTTTTTTAAAGATTTTATTTATTTGTCAGAGAGAGAGGGAGAGAGAGCGAGCACAGGCAGACAGAATGGCAGGCAGAGGCAGAGGGAGAAGCAGGCTCTCCGCCGAGCAAGGAGCCCGATGTGGGACTCGATCCCAGGATGCTGGGATCATGACCTGAGCCGAAGGCAGCTGCTCAACCAACTGAGCCACCCAGGCGTCCCTCTATAGTGACTTTTTAATTGAGTCCGCACTAGTGTCTTACCTTCTGCCTGCAGAAGGACATCACAGAACACACCAGTCTGTTGCTGGTGATGAAGCTGCAGAAAAGCTAACCGGAGAAACCGGGGATTCCTGTATAGGATTTTGGAACTGGCAGGAGAGCACATGTTGGTCTCTTAACAAACTTTCTAGGTTTTCACAGATCAGATTCCTGTAGATGAGAAAGTGTATTTCAGAAGAATGCCTGTACCTAATTTGTTTTTCATTTTTGAAATGGTAGGAAAATCTTAAAAGTGGGAGATAATAGCCACGGGCTGAGTTACCATAAGCCCAGAAATTGTGCCAAGGGTCTCTTAAGAATATCATAGTGGTTACATGTGGGAGCTTAGAAGCAAGGGTAGATTTGAATCTCAGCTCTGTTATTTATTAGCTTAGCTGTATAATCTCAAGCAAATGACCTAACTTTTCTGAGTCTCACTTTTCTCATCTAGGAAGTGATAATGATAACAGTACTTACCCGGTGGAGCTGTTTTAAAGATTAAATGAGTCAATGCGGGTAAAATTGCTTAGCACCGCGAGTGTCTGACACATAACAACTATCACTTCTAAAATGGTAGCTATTGTTGTCCTCAAACCTTCTTCATTCACATTACCACTGAGACTCAACGCCTAGGGTGCTGAAAACTCGTATTCTTCCTGAGCAACACACTTCTGAGTTCCATAGGTATAAACCTCAATTTAACACTTCTAAAGAAACAACATTGAATAGACAATTCTCTAGGAAGTTGTACACACCTTCTTTTCTTTGAGCTCGCTCTATCACGCTAACCAGCAGAGGGTGCACAGTAAAGAAAAGCAGGTGCTGAACTTGGTGGGAAAAATCTCTCACAGAAATAAGGACACTGCCACCCTTGCTTCAGACGTTCTTGACCAAAGCGAGCCTAATACGGCCTGGGAATTGGCAAAGATTCTAGCCTTTAGGTTTGTCAGTCTGGTTAATCGACGGGCTAACAACGGAGAAGGCGTAATTAAGCATTCTACCCTTCCTGATACAAGCTGGATATCCTGAATTCAGGCTTACTCCATTTCCAGCTTTTTTGCACTGAAACCCCCACACTCACTGCACAGGAAGGAACAGCTGGTGTTCCTTCCTTGGTATGCAGTTTTCTGTCAGGTGGCACCGAGGATCTGAACAGTTCCCGTCAAACTATTAGGAAAGAAAAGAGTGGAAGGGTTAATTAAGAAGGGGTAGGCTCAATTTCCATTTCAGCCAGAGAAGTGGGGGCGGAGGGTGGCTGCTCTTGCAAGGTCCCAAACAGAGGCTCTGGGTAGGCTTCCCAACCCACCAGCACCCGGCCTTGCTCCCAGACCCAACCTGGAAGAGCTCTGCAGTCGGAGTTGCGCTCGCCGACGTCTTTGTGCTTGGGTCCTCTGGCCAGCCTGCCTTGCTTCCTCCCAAAGTCCAGCCTTGCGCGGGAAGGTTTAACAAAGCAGCTCAGGTGGGCCAGTGACCTGAGGGTTCCTCTCCCTGTCCAGAACGGAGGAATCGGGGTTGGCGGAGAAAGCTGGGCTTCAGGGAAGGCCCTGCAATGCTGGGCGTCCCGCACGCTCTGGCCGCCCTGGCCCAACTCCTTTGAAGAGAGAACTCTCCGCGCGAAGATTTCTGGGAATGGAGCGTGGGGTTCCCCGAGGCCCGAATTCAGGGCTCACCGTCACCACCACGCCCAGCCGCACGGGCTTTGCAGCCACCCCCTGTTGCCTTCGTACCGCTGCGGGCCCCCCCACCCTCCTGCACCGGGGCGTGGTGACAGCGAGGGCCTGAGGCCACGCGGCCAGCGCCACACACCTCGCGCCGCCGTCCTTGCGCAGGGCGCGTTGTGGGCCCGACGTCCTTCCTCCTCCCCTAGCCCTCGGTCTGACGTCTGCCTGAATACGTCATCCCCATTGGCCGAAGGCTCCTCGGATGACCAATCACAGGGAGAGGAGCACTTTGGGCGGGAGGCTAAGTCTCGAGGGACTTGAGGGCTGAGCCAAGGTAAGATGGTCGGGCGGCGAGAGGTAGGTGGGAAGAGCCTGCTCTGGAGGGATCCTTATAGAGGCCGTCTTCTCCCTCAGCTCGATGAAATCTCAGTGACAAGAGAGTCAGGATGCCCCAGTAGGGCAGGCTCCAAGGCGGTTCCAGGACACTTCTGTCTTCCCCCTGAAGAGGCTGTGGATAAACGGCCCTGGCCCTGTGAGATGGCACCAGGCTTCGCGGAGGAAAAAGCCGGTGGAGGGCTCTCCTCGCACCTTGATCGGCTCTCTCTGCTCTCTTAGTGCAGGGATTTCCAGGAATGAGGTCTTTAGGCTGGAGTGCCTGAATTCAGGCTTTTCACAGATTCCACTCCGCGCGAAATCTCGGAGAACCGGTGCGACCAAGGGGGTTGCTGAACCTCCCGTGTGGAGTGGCCTCCGGTGTCCTTCCAGGGGTGACTTAGTGCATTTCCTGACTGAAAACAGTTGTGTTCAGGGGTGAAATTAAAAAAAAAATTTTTTTTTAAATGATTTCCGGTGCCTGGGTGGCTCAGCTGGTTCAGCGAATGCCTTCGGCTCAGGTCATGATCTTGGAGTCCTGGGATCATCGAGTCCCACATTGGGCTCCCTGCTCAGTAGAGCGTCTGCTTCTCCCGCTGACCTCTCTCTTTTCTTTCCTTTTTTTTTTTTAAAGATTTTTTTTTTTTTTTATTTTTTTTAGTGACAAGAGGTCACAAATAGGTAAAAAGGGGGGGGGGGGGGGGGGGGGGGGGGGGAAGCAGGCTCCCCGCTGAGCAGAAAGCCCGATGCGGGGCTCCATCCCAGAACCTTAGGATCATGACCTGAGCCGAAGGCAGAGGCTTTAACCCACTGAGCCACGCAGGCCCCCCTGACCTCTCTCTTTTCATGCTCTCTCTCTCTCTTACTCTCTCTCTCAAATAAATTTTAAAAAATTCAATGATTTCAAGATTCAACATTTAGAGAGAACGCTCATTATAAATCTGAACAGCGGTTCTTACCCGTGTGTGTGTTAGGTCCTGGGGCCTGCTATCATTTAGATGCTCTGCGAAGTCCAGCTCTAGAAGAAGATGGCTGAATCCAAAGCCACTGGTGACAGAGTGTGGTGAAAACCAGAGCAGGGTTCACTGAGGCCAGCTGGAGGCAGATCGCGGAGATGCCCTGCAAAGGAACAGACAAGAGTGTGGAGAGGTGAGTAGTACCGTGCGCTCAAACACGTTTCTATTGATACCTAACACCTTTTCAAAAAGGAGTTGAGTATGTCAATTATACCATAATTATCAATTATATATAATTAAATATTTTTAAGGGATTTGGGAAAGTTGATTGAAATATGGGGGGTGGGGTGCATTTCCAAGTCAGGTAATATTTTCCTAGTTTGAGGCCTGCTCTCAAGGTGGAAAAAAGTTCAAGGAACAGAACATATTTTTGGTTGCAGTTATATTTTGAAGAGGAAGCAACTGGTGAAAGGATATAAAACTTAGCAGAAGGAGGACACACGCAAGCAAGTAAGCAAAAAAAAAAAAAAAAAAAAAAAAGACAAGGCAGAACAGTGTTTGTTTATGACATCTTGCTGTGGAATCAAGACTTGAGGGCCATCTGGGTGGCTCAGTGGGTTAAAGCCTCTGCCTTCGGCTTGGGTCAGGATCCCAGGGTTCTGGGATCGAGCCCCGTGTCGGGCTCTCTGCTCGGCGGGGAGCCTGCTTCCTCCTCTCTCTCTGCCTGCCTCTCTGCCTACTTATGATCTCTGTCTGTCAAATAAATAAAATCTTAAAAAAAAAAAAAAGACTTGAGTGAGCAGGTGAAGTACTAGTAGAAGTGATCCTGTGGACTTATAAGAAAAACAGAAATATTGGGGAGCCCAGGTGGCTCATTCGCTAAGCATCTGCCTTTGGCTCAGGTCATGATCCCAGGGTGTTGGGAGCCCTGCAGAGGGCTCCCTGCTCAGCAGGAAGACTGCTTCTCCCTCTCCCACTCCCCCTGCTTGTGTTCCTTCTCTCACTGTGTCTCTCTCTGTCAAATAAATAAACGAAATCTTTAAAAAAAAAAAAAAAGAAAGAAAGAAAAATAGAAATATTATATCCCCTCATGAATTTGTTATTATGATTAGGTTAATTTTCAAGAAATAGAGAGGACTCACTTTTTCATTTCTTCTTTTTTTTAATCCAACACCATTTAAATATATCTTGTGACAGTAGAATTTCTAAAGGGAATGGTGAACAGCCATCCTACCCAGAGCTTTAAAAATGACAAACATTCCATGGTAATGTGTAGCCACCAGAGGGTAGAAACGAGTAAAAATATTTTGTCTTCCTTTGTATGTCTAGCCAGTGCTTTTTGGAGTTGATTTTTTGTTGTTGTTTCTTCTCCTTGGCATTTATGGTTTTAGCTATTCTAGAGGTAGAGACAGCACAGCATTCAGCCCTACATAATAATTTTAATATTTTAAAAAATTTTTATTTAACTAACTTATTTTTAATATTTCTATTTTGAATATAAAATTATTTCCCAGCTCTTCCCTAATCTTTTACTATAGATTCCTATTCTTCTCTGTTTGTTAAGTGGAGATGACTATGGTGGGAGGGAAAATTACACTTTGAGAGTTATAAAATCGAGCACTGAATGTAATATTCAATGCATTAAAAACAAAAACAAAATGAAAGAAAGAAAACAAAGGAAAAAAAAAACCTGAAATAAAAACCAACCATGTATGTCTACACATATCCTCAATCCATTGACTTCTCTCTATTTTTACTGCTACCATTTTAGTCAGCTCGGTATTACAGCAGCTTGACCTTCAAACTAATTTCCTTGCTTTCACCCTTGCCCTCTTTATTCCATTTGTCACATAAGCCAGCAGATCTTTTCAAAATCTGAGATCATGTCATTCTACTGTTGAAAACATTCACAGGCTTCCCTCTACTGAGAGTAAGTTAATCAAAACTTCCTCGAACCTGTAAAATCCTTCATATTTCTATCACTCCCTCCTCATTTTGACACTCTGCTGGATCCACCAGGTTTCAGCTTCATTCTTGGGGGCTTTGGCATTAGTAGTTACTGTTGTTCATATGTTCTCATAGTTGGCTGCTTCTTCCCATTCAGATTTCAACTTAAATGCCAAATTCTCTGGAGAGTT